GGCACTCTTGACCTACGAGATTTTATGCGAATTGACACCAAGAACTTCCCCTCTAATCCTGGTGACCACGCCCCCGACGGGCTGAAGCAGGCTCTCCAAGAATCTCGCGAAGCTCTCGGACCTCACAATATCCGAGTGTTCTATCTGCATGCGCCAGATAAGGCAGTCCCTTTCGAGCAAACTCTCGCCGCTGTAGACGAGTTACATAAATCTGGTTACTTGTGCGTCAGTGTACCCTCGCTGTCGTACGTCCGAGACTGACGGGCCCATAGTGAGGAATGGGGAGTCTGCAACTTCTCGGTGTCTGAGATGCAGGAGATCCTGGTCATCTGCAAGGAACACGGATACATCCAGCCTACCGTGTTTCAAGGCGCCTACAATCTCATCGACCGTGCCTTCGAGACCGCTATCATCCCCCTGTTGCGCCAGCACCGCATACGCCTTGCGGCGCACTCTCCCCTCGCAGGCGGATATCTCACGGGCAAGATGCTTCCAAGAAGCCAGCAATCTTCACCTTCAGAGATTCTGAGTCACTTCGACCCATCTTGGGGGCCGTCGTCATATTACACGAAACGCTACCTCCCCATGGCGCCTGCGCTTGCCGAATTGCAAGCCTTCGTGGCTGAGCGCGGGTTGACGCTGCGTGAGGTTGCGTACCGCTGGCTTCAGTATCACAGCGCAATGGCACCGGAGGACCACGGATTGGTCGTCGGCGCGAGTAGCCTTGAACAGCTCGAGAGTACAATTCTAGACTGCAAGAAAGGCCCGCTGCCTGACACTGTTGTGCAGGCGTGCAACGAGACCTGGGAGAAAGTCAAGGAATTCTCCAAGGATTCATGGGAGCCTTGACAGTCGAGTCCATCTTCCCTGTGGTAGAATTGGGATTTTGTGTTCAAATCAGTGTTTATTAACGTTTATTGGTTTGGTTCAGCTTGGAACGTGTTGAAGCGCCTAGTGGCTCTGGCTCGGCATTCTGCCCGGCATGGACTTAAGGTGGACATCTTAGATTAGGCGCTGCTAATACGTAGATAGTGATTGGACAATCATATGTAGTGCTCCCACGCACGGACCTCTTTATGGCAGGCTTCCCCATTCTAGCGGACTTTCAATTTTGCTTCCTTTTAGTATATAAGGACTCCTCTCGCATCCCCACTCTGCGTGCTCTTTCCCTTTGCACTCAGACTAACACCGTGTGTATTAGATCGTGCCCGGGTGCCACTTGCCAGTTCGCGCTCGCGCAGCCCAGTAGTCGTATCACGACAATAGGTTATGAGCCCCGGCTTGTAACTGGCCCCCATCTACCCTCTATCCCTCACGAGTCTTCACTCGGAGAGATCCAGCACCAGCCGCACATTTGCTCCATAACACCTCAGGGTCTTTACCCCAAGTGTTACTCCACATCGCACACACGCACACTAGAGTCGTACTCTAGTGTATGTCTAGTCCATCTGCATCACGCCCACCTTCACCAACTGCACCGACACCTGCACCTGCACCTGCACCCCATCCTACACGTCGCACTCCCGCCGCTCCTACTACACCCTCTCAATCCGCGTCCACCGCACCTCGCCGCACGACAACCATGTCCTCCACCTCCGCATTCGCATCAGCCACCGGTCCGCCGTCGATGAAGCTCGACACGATCGGAAAGCTCAAAGGCTCCAGCGACTACCCACGCTGGTCCCTAATGATGCAGCAGTACTTCATTGCTGCACGCGCATGGAAGGTCGTCGACGGCACCGAGAGAGCCCCCGTCCCAAGCAGCTCCGTCTCCGCTGCGGACATCGAAGCATGGGAGACGACAAACGCATATGCGAGGTTTTACATCCTCAGCATGCTCGGCGACGAGCTCCTGCACCTCGCGAACCCAGTGGACATCACAGCCGCCGCGCTGTGGAAGAAGCTGAAGGACAACTACGCCGCCTCCACCACCATGTCGGCATTTGTCAAGTTCCGTGCGTACTTCTCGCACGCGATCACGGACAGCGATGACCTCGCTGCCCAACTCGACGAACGTGCCCGACTCTGGCAAGAGGTCAGCGCCTCCGGGATCCTCCAAACCCCGGAGCTCCTGCAGATATTCAGCCTGCTCACGGCCCTCCCCGACTCGTTCAACAACGTCGTGGAGCCCATCCTCGCAGTCACCAAGCCCGCCGACTTGAAGCTCGATGACATTCGCAACCGTCTCCTCGACGAAGCGAAGCGTCGCAGCTCCTCCACCAACGTCGCCGCCTTCCACGCACCGAAGGCGTCTACCTCAGGCAAAGCCAAAGCTGGCAAACCTGACGGCAAGAAGGGCAAGTGCAACTTCTGCCACTACAAAGGCCACTACGAGCAGGATTGCAGAAAGAAAAAGGCCGCTGCCGAAGAGGTGCGGAAGGGCAGCAATGGCAAAGCCCAGGACGGTAAAAGTAATCCGTCCGGTAGTAGTACTGGTCACGCATCTGTACATGTAGTCACCGCCGAAGGAGCCACTGCTCCTGAGGCCGAAATTCACTCCACTTCCTGGTATCTCCACGGTGTGAAACGCTGGATGTTAGACTCCGGCTGTACACGACACATTACGAACGACCTGAACGACTTCGCTGAGTACACCGCCTTTGCATCACCTACATATGCAACACTAGCAGACAAGGCGAAAACGCAAGTAAGCACGCTCGGTTCAGGAGTTGTCGAGGGCACTACGCTCGTCGATAACAAACCAGTAAACATCAGGCTAGAGAACGTTCTCTACAGCCCTGCAATGTCCGGACGGCTAATATCCGTCTCATGCATCGAAGACAAAGGCTTCGATCTCGTCTTTGGGAAAGGACGAGCCCAAATCAAGCGTGGTAACACCACGTTTGGCATAGGCACTAAGTCCCGCGGTCAGTATTGGTTGGACCTTACTCCACCTCCACCATCTGTCGCGGTCTCCACGCACAACGCCACTTCGCTCGACGTTATCCATCACCGGTTTGGTCACCTGAACTGGGAGGCAGTACGCAAGCTCGCCGCTGCTGATTCCTCTCCGGTCAAAGGCCTCATCGCCGCCGATATGGATAAACCTTCGCATCCCTGCGAAGGCTGCGTCTTGAGCAAAGCACACAGGCGTACATTCCCCACGTCGTCCACCTCACGCGCCAACAAACCCTTCGACCTCATACACTCTGACCTCGACGGACCTATGTCGGTGGTGTCCATCACGGGCCACCGATACTTCGCTACCTTCATCGACGACTGCTCCAACGTCACATGGGTCTACTATCTGCGAACAAAGGATGAGTTCCTCTCTGCATTCAAAGACTTCGTAGCCCTCGTCGCGCGACAGTTCGATACGGTCATCAAGGTCTTTCGGTCAGATCGAGGGGGTGAATACCAGTCCAACGAGTTCATCAACTTGTTGAAGAAATCTGGGATCATCCACGAGCGCACAATACCCGGTACCCCACAGCAAAACGGCAAAGCTGAGCGCATGAACCGCACGCTCGTAGAAGCCGCTAAGTCAATGCTACAAACCGCTGGGTTATCACACGGATTCTGGGAAGAAGCTGTTCGCACAGCTGTGCACGTACGCAACAGAGGCCCTAAGAAAGCCATTGCATGGCGTACGCCCCTGGAACGACTCACTGGCACCACACCGGACATATCCCACTTCCGAGTCTTTGGTTGCCAGGCCTATCACCATATACCCGGGGATAAACGCAAGAAACTCGATGCTAACGCTGAGAGCCTAGTGTTTATTGGCTATGAGACGAATTCTAAAGGTTATCGTCTATGGGATAAACGTAGCAGAAAGATCACCACGAGTACTGATGTGATATTCGACGAGTCGATCTTCCCCAACAAACTCCTACCCTCACCGTCCTCGACACAACCGACCGGATCTACATCCACGCTGCCGTCATCTGTCGAACTCGAACTACCACCCTTTAACACGCCACCGGCTCCTACGCAGCCGCCACAGCCTGTACCACCTCCTACTCAACCCATCACACCAAAACCACCTACAGTATCCCAGATACTACGCCTTACACCTCGAACAGAGTTGTATCCAGCTCCGCCTATCCCGCCAAGTGCACCGGTCAAGCCTGAATTCAAAGGCAAGGCCAAAGCCTCACCATCTCGCGTCGTCGCCCCTCCGCCACTCCAGCCAAATCCCAACACCACCTCGTGGGACTACAATCCCTTCACCAACCCTGAGCATGCCACGACGTCGTCAGGCGTCCGTCGCAGTACCCGCGAGCGTAAAGCAACTCAGAAATAGACGAGCATTTGGCCCGGAGCGACCGAAGCGGACATTGAGGAAGCACTGAACACAGGCAAGGAACCGGGCGACATCGCTGCGATCGTAGGCGACTCCTCCATCGCTGGAGAACCGCGAACCTACAAACAAGCAGCCGATGCGCCGGATTCAGCGGAGTGGATGACTGCCATGCAGGCCGAAGTCACTGGCCTCCTGGAACAAGGCACCTGGGAACTTGTCGACCTACCAAAGGGTCGCAAGGCAATCAAGTGCAAATGGGTATACGTTGTCAAGCGCAACGAGAACGGAGAAGTGGATCGCTACAAGGCAAGGCTCGTAGCCAAGGGGTTCACGCAAGTTCAAGGCATCGATTACAAAGACACCTTCGCTCCCGTCGCCCGTATGGAGTCCTGGCGATACCTCATCGCCTTAGCGACCATCCAGGACTGGGAAATCCATCAGATCGACTTTGATAGAGCATATCTGAATGGAGAACTCGACGAGGAGCTCTACATGGAGCAACCTGAAGGTTTCGTAACGGACGCAGGCAAAGTATGCCGCCTGCGGAAAGCAATATACGGGCTAAAGCAAGCGAGACGAACATGGTTCCTCACGCTCAAAGCCTGTCTCGAGGACATTGGATTCGCATGCCACGACACCGGCGACGTATCCATCTTCATTCGCCATCAACGAGGGGGATCCACTCAAATTTTAGTGGTTTACGTTGACGACCTAACTATGATGGGAAACAGCCTCGATCTCATCCAACAAACGAAAGAGGCATTGAAGGAAAGGTTCCAACTCAAGGACCTTGGCGAACTCAAGTACTACCTCGGCATCCGTGTCACGAGGGATAGGGGGAGTCGAGCTACATACCTCGACCAGGAAACGTACATCGAGTCCGTTCTCAAACGATTCAGATACGAAGACTGCAACCCCGCATCCACACCACTCGGCACAGACATCGTACTCGAGAAGAATGAGGAAGACCCCGCGGACTGTCCACAAGACCGCATCAAGCTATACCGCTCACTCCTCGGCTCACTCATGTACGCCATGCTCGGGACTCGCCCCGACATTGGCTTCGCCGTCGCCCGACTTTGCCAATACCAGGCAAACCCTTCACCGAAACACGTAGCTGCCGCCTATCGTGTTCTCAAGTACCTCCGCGGCACCTCCAACTATCGACTCTGTCTAGGTCAGAACGACGAGACCGATAGCCGTTTGCTCGGTTACACCGACGCAGACTTCGCGAACGACAAAGACAACTCCGTCTCAACATCCGGCTGGGTTTACAAACTCGGTAGAGGCGCGACCAGTTGGTCTTCTCGCAAGCAACACTCTGTGGCTCGAGACACCTTCGACGCAGAGTACTTTGCAGCCGACGAAGCAGTCCGACATTTACAGTGGCTCGAAATCTTCGCTGAGTACATCAAACACCCACTCGCGAAGCCTGTCCCTCTCCACTGCGACAATAAATCTGTCGTTGATGCTGCCCAGTCACCCAACGTCAAGCATCGCACAAAACACACCCGCGTCAAAGCTCACGCTGTTCACGAGCAATTCGAAGCAGGTCTGATTGAACTTGTTAGGATTCCCGGTGTCGACAATCCGGCTGATATTCTCACAAAGCCTTTACCGGCTGAGGTACACAACCGTCACACCCAGTCTCTTGGCCTCGTTCCGTATCGCCTCGCCAAGGGGGAGTGTTGAAGCGCCTAGTGGCTCTGGCTCGGCGTTCCGCCCGGCATGGACTTAAGGTGGACATCTTAGATTAGGCGCTGCTAATACGTAGATAGTGATTGGACAATCATATGTAGTGCTTCCACGCATGGACCTCTTTATGGCAGGCTTCCCCATTCTAGCGGACTTTCAATTTTGCTTCCTTTTAGTATATAAGAACTCCTCTCGCATCCCCACTCTGCGTGCTCTTTCCCTTCGCACTCAGAGTAAGTCTCCTTCGTCGCCCTTGCGCACTATGCAGTATGCTTACCAGACCCCTGTCTAGCTAACACCGTGTGTATTAGGTACATAGCTATACAGCGTGCTCTTTCCCTTCGCACTCAGACTAACACCGTGTGTATTAGATCGTGCCCGCATGCCACTCGCCAGTTTGCGCTCGCGCAGCCCAGTAGTCGTATCACGACAATAGAACGACCACAGCCTGCGAGAGCCGTGGACAGGGCCTGGGTCATACCCGCACGGCAAGCCATGACTTGGAGCGGGTAACGTAGCATACATTATTTATGATTAATTTGGCTTTAGCATGTATATTGTACTG